CCATCGGAGCTCCCTAGAGAGACCCCCTCTGTCATTTACAAGCCTAAGAACTCTGGAGAGGCGTGAGGTCTGGGTGCATACCACCCAGCACCCAGCACCCAGCCCAGGCAGGAGCGCCATGTTTGGTTTCTATTTTCATTTTCTTAATTAATGATAATAGTAGCTCTTGGGCATTGTCTTATCCTCATAGCAACCCTACAGAGGAGGTGCTGTTGTGATCCCCACTTTACAGATGAGTATGTGAAGGCACAGAGAGGAAGAATAACTTGCCGAAAGTCACAGCTAAAAAATGCTTGAGTTCAGACGCCTCACTCTGATAAGCTGATGGCCAGCACTGGGAGTGGGGGCCTTGTGGGCAGGGGACAGACTTGAGTGTGGGCCAGGAGAAGTGGTGGGCCCTCTTGTTTTTGATTTTCTGAGACTGGGTCAACCCTTAGATCCCAAGCCAGTTTCTTCCGTTGTTTGAAGTGCTCCCAGAGCAAGAGATGAGCCCAGAGAAGTAGGGAGATGGGACTTGAGTATGGCTCAGGACATCAGGACATCCCATCCACACAGACTAGAATGAGTATGGTGCCCTTGGACTGGGCATGGAGGGAGCCCTGTGGGCAAGCCCCCAGCATAGGACCTGGAAGACCAGGGTCTGCAAACCTTTTGGTAAAGGGCCAGAAAGTAAATCTTTCAGCCTGTGCAGGTCACACAGTTGCTGTTATAACTCCTGAGCTCTGCGGGGTGACAGCAGTCGTAGGCGATATGTAAATGAGGAGTGTGCATGTGCTCCAAGGCAAACTTTATTACAGAAATAGGCTGCTAACAGATTTGGCCCACGGGCCAGTTTGCCAATCCCAGTGAAGACCATGGAAGGAGTTGGATTCTCCTTCCAAGAGTAGCTTGGAGCTGTGAAAGGGTTTTAGGCAAGAGTAAAGAGAGGCCAGCTCCCGTTGACAGTGGCTCTGATGGATCCTACTGTGTCCCCACCCCTCACCAGTGCAGGAATGATCATTCTGTCCTCTTTGCGATTCCCAGAGCCCTTCTATCTGCAAGAAGAGGGTTGGCCTGGGACCCGAGGGCCTCTGATGTTTGCATGTCTTGGACTATGCACCCCTCCAGCCCTGCCCCACCACACACCAGCTCTCAGCTCAGCGGGGCTCTCCAAATGCTGGTTCCCTACTTGACCTCAGGGGAAGCACGGAGCACTGGGCAATAACCTGGACTTGGAAATCCAGGAAGTCTGCTGCCCAATTCCAGGTCTTCTGCTTGGCGTGTGTGCCTGTGAGCTATCCCTTCCTAACGCTTGGCTCCTCTTGGAATAATTATAGATGTGCATCCATGAAAGAAAATGGTTCCACACTGAGCTGGGTGTCTAGGAGAGGTTCAGTAAGGGGACTCTTGATAGAGGAGTCCTTTTTCTTGATCAACTCCAGATGCAAGCAAGTCTGGTGCACTGGGTACCAGGGACTTTGCTCCAGTGAGCTGGGCCCAGTGCCAGGCTCCAGATGCCCAGCTAGAGCTGGAAAGTGGGACTGCCGAGGCGGCCTTGGCTCATGAATATTAAGGGTTTCTTAGAGATGGCGATGATTTGTCCCAATTCTTGGGCTGAAAATAACTGTCCGACATCAGGGTAATTACATGGCTTGGACTCCCGCGCAGCACAGAGAGCACCCCAATAATTACTGTGCACAGACTCTGCTTTTGGCAGCTGATGTTTATTTTCTGCTTCAAAGAGAGTCTCCTGGACAGGAAGCCTGTTTTACCACCCACCTCAGGCAACTTAAATCTGCCTCAGATGTACAGAACCTTCCAGAAACCCTTCTGGGACAGGGTCAAAATGGACACTTCTACTCTCCCAAAAACTCTCTGTCAGGCTTTGGGCAACCCTCTGTGGCTAGGTCTGGGTGCTCAGTGGTTTTTCCTGAATCTCTCAGTGTAGCCCTGAGGCTAGGAGCAGGTCCCCAGAGCTCACCTACATGCAGGAGGGACCTGCAGAAAGAGCTGCACCCTATAGACAGGGGTCTGCAGGGGTCAGCACTGGAGGGTGGTCTGCTTTGCTTAGAGATATCGAATCTGTGTCCTTGGACTAAAAGAGGGGGCTGCCAATTCGGTCAAGATCGTGGAAGAGTTCGTAAGGACTTAGTGTATGCTAGGTCTTACAGATAGAGCCATAAATACCAGGTCACAGTCCTGCCTTCTTGGTGCTCCGTGTCCAGTGGGCAGACAGAGCCAATGCTCATAATTACTCAAATAGTCGTGTAATTATATTTGTGATGAGGGGACATATGTGATGAATAAGAGCAACAAGGGTATACAATGGGAGGAGTCTGGGGAGTTTGAGCTGAGACCCAAAAGCTGGGGAATGAGGCAAGTGTCTATTAGAATGTATATTAGAAACGAGTACATAGATGGTGGTGCATGGATGGATGGGTGGGTGGATGAATGGCCACATGGATGAATGAGTGAATGTGTGGACAGGTGAAGGATGGATGGATGGATAAATAGATGGACCGATTCATGGATAGGTGGATGACTGATTCTTCTAGGCGATGGGAACAGACTATGCAAAAGCTCCTAGGTCAGAGGAAGGGTGGTGATTGTGGCTGACAAAAAAAACTGTTGTGGGAAATGTTTGGAATTTAAGAAATGAGACTGGCGAGGCAGGCAGCTGGGACCGCTGTGTTTAGTTGAGTGAGTTATCTGTTGCAGGGCTCCGGGAGCTGCCCGTCAACAAAGCACCATGTGAATGGTGGCCCTGGATAGATACAAAAAGTTGGTTGGTAGGCAGGACTCACGTCATGCAGGCCTTGTATGCCATAGCAAGGATTTTGGGCATTATTCCCAGAGCAGTTGGGGGCTGGGAAAGAGTGTTAGCAGTTTTTTATGGGGCTAATTTCCATTTATGAAGCAGAATTATCCAATGCAACTTTCCATGATGATAAACATGTTCTATTTCCACACTTTCCAATATGGTAGCCACATGCAGCTGTGGAGTACACAGTGACTGAGAAACTGAATTTTAGATGTTGATTAAAGAGCCACAACAGCTAAATGTCGCTAGAAGCTCCATATTAGGTAGTGCCACCCTGTGGATCTGGGTTTTACTGGATAAAGACCTGTCGCATCTAACCCCCTGCAGCTATGCATCTGGGGCGAGTCTGAGGAAGACCTCACATTTTGCTGGGTGGAGGCCTCAATCTCCCCTGCACACAGGGCCTCTGTTCGCACTGAGACCCTGGGTACAACCAGAGCTGTGGTCTGGGAGCTGTGCCTAATGAGGATGGAGCCGAGGGGCGGCCCCCATGCCCACTGATCTGGACTCCCCCCAGTGCTTACCTATCGTCATCTTTTCCTTGCACCTGTTGGGGTTGCTGACATTTTGTCCTGCGAAGTGGCTGGCCACCTCCTCCCTCTTCAGATCTCACTTCTCATTTTTTTGCTACAGCAGAGACAATTCAGTGGGGAACCATAGCATAGTGAGCCATAGTGTGAAGATGGTGACCACAGTGGGCTTTCGAGGATGTGGATTTGGCTCATGGTTTAGGGGAACCAGGTTGGTGGGGGTGGAGGAGCTCACAGGGGCCTACACCAGCCTGCCCCTCCCATTTGCAGGGCCTGAACCTCTAGCCCTGCTTCATCGCACCCTCACCCAGGGCCTCACACACAAGCCAGCCCGTGTCCAAGTCCAACTACCTGCCCCAGAGTCAGCCAGCCCTATTCATCCTTTGACCTAGGGGTACAATTGCCCACTCACTGCCCAGTCCACCTTTGGGAAGCTCAATCTAGGTGGGATCCTAGTTTGAGCTTGCATGCAGGCTCAGAGCCATTTAAACAGGAAGGGTAGAGAGGTGGCCCAGAAGAACCACAGGCTCCAGTGGACTCTGTCCATTGGTCCCATGGCTACCTCACTCCATGGGGAGAGGCATAGCTGGAGGCCAGAGTGGTCCTGCTAAAACTCAAGGACCAGAGCAAGGGAAGGACTCAGTGGCCAAGACTGGGAAGGAACCTGCAGGGCTGGTGGACCAGCTCCTCCTATCTTCCCCTGTGCACTTGAGTCCTAGGTGAGCAATAGGGACGGGTAGGAAGGAAGGTCACAGTGGTCAGGGGAGAAGGGTTGTCCTAAGTAAGAGGGATTCGAGCTGCCAGTGGCCTTCACTCTGGCCTATCCCATCTATCCACCATCTCTGAACACACACGCAAGTGCGTGTACACACACACACACACACACACACACACACACACACATGCACGCACGGGGGTAAGGGCTGGGGCATGGCTCAAGTCCAGAGATGGGGATGGTTGGAACCTCACTCTCTGTGGTTCAGTGGGGCCAAAGGTGGGGTGTCTGGCACTCATAGATGAACAATCTGGTGCAGGGACCCCGTGTGAATAAAAATGGTGATAGGGCTGGGTGTGGCTCAGTGGTAGAGCTCTTGCCTGGCATGCGTCAGGCCCTGGGTTGGATCCCCGGTACCACCAAAAATAAAGATGGTTATAGCTGCCAAAGCCAGTCACCTGCAAACCACGCGCCCATCACTGTGCAGAATGCCTGACGTGACTCACCTCCATCCTACCTGACAACACCCAAGTGAGATAAGATCAGCACCAGCTGCATTTGACAGATGAGGAAAATGAGGCAGAGGAAGGGAAGTGTTTGGATGGTGCTGAATTTGAACCCAACCCATTGGACTCCAAGGGGAGGTTTCAAGGATGAGAAAGTGCTCTCTCTAGACAACCAGAGACACAGAGGAGGGGCTTGACAGTGATTAGCACTAGTTAGTCTCACCTTTGGTGAGATTTTCCACCTGTTGGAAATCCTGGGCCAAAGACCTATGCTCTGGGCCTCAGTTTCCTTATGTGTAGAATGTGGAAGGGGTTAATTTATCCCATAAGTCTTTTGTCGGGAATGCGCAAGGCCATTTGTGTCGGGATCTGGGGGAGACTGGGTCTTAGCTTCGTGCGTGCACACCCGTGTGCATTGGGGATCTCACTCCTGTCCCCTTCTGTTGCAGTGCGCTACTTCTTGAAGAATAAGGTTAGCCCCGATTTGTGCAATGAGGATGGACTCACAGCCCTGCACCAGGTAAGCTGGGCTCACTGGGGTTCCCTAGCTCCCTGCTCCCCACCTGGACAAGTGCCCCATTTCCTTGCACTTTCTGGTCCAGAATCCCCAAGGAAGAGGGGCAGCAGGAGGGAGAGCCACAGGCGGCCCGTCTGCAAGGCGCCTGTCTGCTTTGGAGATGTATGTGCCCGTCACAGACATGCCCACAGAGCCCATGTGCACACACACCCACGTGCGTGCAGAGATGGGCTCAGAGCACAGGGAGCTTTTGTTCACTGCATGCTCACTGCCCAGCAAAGCAAGTGTGTTTGGAGCTTGACATTTGACAAAGGACACTCATACCCACCAGGACATCCTACCTGCCAGGGTGATAAAGATGATTAATAGGCATTCAGTGACCTGGTCCAAGAACTGTGACCACAAGCCAAGTGCTGTCATAACATACACCCTCTGCAAGGGAGCATAGTAGGTCCAGCCCTCTCTGCCTGGGGACAGGCTGCTCTGTCTGTCACCTCCATCTCCTCCATATCCCCTTAATAAGTTCCCAGAATTCAGTCTGGTCCTGCTATAATTTTTTATCCATGCAGCAGCCACAGGGATGCTCGGGTTAATAATCTACCTGAGTTTTCTTAAAGCTCTTTGATGTCTTCTTGTAACACTGGGGGCAAAGAATAAACTGAGAATAACTCCTTGCCATTCTGCTCCGAGCCCACGAGCCCCTGCCCAGCCCTCGGCTCCCTGCCTCTCCAGGCTGGTACCCTGGAGTATTTTCCAGGTTCCTCTTAGCTTCTGTCCACAGCAGGAGCCTGAGGGTGTGCCGTGACAAGAGTGCCCTTTACCTTCTCAGCACCCCCTTCCTAATTAGTGATTCAGCCACCACCAGTGTGACCTTTCAATGTTGCCCTTCCCCCCCGCCCAGATCCTGAGCCTCACAAGGACACAGCCCGCACCTCTTGCTCATTGGTGTGTCCCAGCTTCTTTCTCCATGTTGGTATACAGTAGATGCTCAATATGTGAGTGCTGAACTAATGAATGAAGCTTCCCTGGGCTCTGGCCCAAGTTTCTGAGTAGAGGGACTTGAGTGCGACCTGGAGGGAGAGGCCAGGCACCTGGGGCCCTGGGTGGGGGTGAGATGGACAGAGACTGGCCATGCTCTACCCATCAGCCTTAGGGGCAGAGTCTTGCCCTCAGGCCTGCAGCCCAGGGGTTCTCTGTATATTCCTCTTGGCTCCTCTTCCTGTCCTCGAGGGCCTCAGGTGCCCACTCATGGGCAGCTGCCTTGGTATCCCACTGAATCCTGCTCATGGAAACTCTCCCCAACCCCCAGCTCCTGTACCTCCAGGGTGCCTGGGACTGGGCCAGAGTGGGGGGCAGTGGCTGCCCCAGCTTACCCTGGATCGAGCACCCAAATGGCAGCTCCCCAAGCCAGGAGGTGCTCGTCAGCCAGGGGTGTGATGATGGAATACACGGGCTGCCCCCGGTATGTTCTGGACGTTGAGTCTGTTTTCGTAGAGGACAGACTTCATCAAGGCCTGGAGGCCCTGCTGGCCAGCTGTGTGACCTGGACGAGTTCCTGAAGCTCACTAGGCCCCCGTTTCCTCATTTGACAAAGGAATAACCAGTTCCCATTTCCCTGGGTTGTTGTGAGGACACCCTCGGCACTGGAGAGATGTTAGTCCGTCATTGTTAAAATTTGTCATGTGACCACTTCTCAACAAAGCACTTCACTGTTGTATTCCGTTTCAGTCCTCACGACAAACCTCGGAAGTGTTATTATTCCCATTTTCTGATTCAGGAGACTGAGGACCAGGGTCTTTCACATGACTTTCTACGCTGATGAGAAGGCTCTGTGTATCTGCCCTGAATAGTATCATCGGCCCCAGCCACAGGTGGCCACAGAGCTCTCACAGTGTGGCTCTGGGACCCAGAAGCTAGATTCTGAGTTTAATTTTAGTGAATGTGAGTGAGTCGTGTCCGCCCTATTAGACCGTGCAGCTCGGGGAGGTGAGGTCTCTTTTCCAAGGTCGCACGTGAATCGTGGCAGAGGCGGGATTAAAACAAGGGGTCTTAGCTGCTCTGTAGAGGCTGGGCCTCCCGCCTGGAGGCACCATCCCAGGCTTAGCAAACTATCTGGTGGTGTCCTGCCTTTGTCTTGGGGCTCCTGTCACTCTTACATCATGCCCTCGCTTCTTTCCTGCGGATCCTGTGGCTTTCCCAGGACCCATTCCCTCCTGTCGATTTCTGAACCTACCATGTTAGGCTCCGAGTTTAGCTGTCTGGAGCTCATGGCTGGCCAGTGACACTCACCCCAGCCCCACCTCCACCATCACGCTGCCTTGAGTCCCATTCCCAGTTCCCTCTCAGGAGGTATCTGCCCCCATCGCTCCACAGGCTCCAATTCATTTGTTCAACAAGTTCATACTGGGCATCGACTCTGTGCCGGGCACTCTGCTAGGGATGGGGCTCCCGAGGTGAGTGAGGCATGTTGGCGCACTCTGAGTTCATGGTGTGATGCGACCTCAGGCACATAAATAACAGCACAGGCAGCACGGGGTGTTCTGTCCTCGCTTGGAGTAAGCAGAAGGCTCTGTGGCAGTTTGAAGCTGGGAGCTGATGCAAACTGAGAAAGGCTTCCAAGAGGAAGGAGCTCTGGGCTGGGTCTTGAAGGCTGAGTAGGAGTTCACTAGAGAGAAGAGGAAGAACGGATCTCAGAGGGAACAGCTTGGGGGGAGGCATGAGGAGGGGCCCAGCATTTGAAGTCTGGAGGGGGGGGGTTGATTGTGGCACAAGTAGGATGCGGGAGCCTCAGAGAGATGGCAGGAAGGCTGGGAACAGGGCCGTGGTGTCAGGCTGTTTGGATTTCAACCCATTTCTGTAGGTGGATTTTAATCTTGGATTTAATCCATTTCTTACTGTGCGTGGGATCATGCACCCAGACCTCTTTGAACCAGTTTCCCCATCTATACAACAGGATGAGAGGGTCCTCACAGGCTCGCTTTGAGGACTAAATGTGGCAGAGCGTGGCCAGAGCTTAGCAAGGTGCCTGGCCCGAGTCAGCTCTCAAAAGCCTTGACTGATATAGATAATGTGACGTGGCGTGTTGTCGTTACCATTGCTGCCAGGGCTGTTGCTCCTGCTGTCATTGTTAGTGTCACTGCTGCTCCGGTACAGCAGAGGAGACCAGGGCATATGGAGAACTCCACGGACCTGGCCAAGGAGTGGGGATTTGCTTGTCTTGACAACAGGGAACCTTCTGATGTTTGCAAACCGAGAGCAGCGTGATGAGATGAACCGGGCAGCTCTTTCTGGATGAGGGTGTTTGGAAGGCGCCAAAGAGAGGCAGGGGGAGATGAGCCTCACCCAAGGCGGCGGGAATGGGGCCATGATGGACAAGATGAACCCACAGCTGGGGACAGGTTGGATGTGGGAAGTGAGGAAGCAGGGACAATTGGTGGAGAGCCCCTTGCCATTTCCCATATTGGTGAATGCAGGGCCTGCCCACCCCGCCACCTACTACCCTCTCCACGTGGACCCCTGCACTCAGCCCCAACTCAGCGCTTGCTTGGCCCTGGGGTCGCAGGTTCATACTGGCCCAGCCCCTGGGCAGAAGGCTCAGAAGACTGCAGTTCTGGATGTGTAATCCCCTGTCCCTTCATCCTGAGGCTTCACCCCGCCCCCATGCTTTCTGCAGTATCTAAGGGTGAGACCTCTGATCCTTCTGTTCCCTGACTCCTGGGCTCCCCAAACCCATCTTCCAGTGATAGCCTGGGGACCCACCCCTTCTCCCATGCCTCACTCTGATGTCTTTGGCGCCCTCTGCTGGCCATTCCACATCACTGCATGGTTCTCCTGCCCACCTCGGGCAACACCTAGACCCATCTTTCTCCTCCTGTCCACAGTGGCTGGCTCAGAAAGAACTTGGGTCTCTAACAACATCTGTGCCAATGGTTGCTCCTTTCCCACATGTCCCTCTGGCACTGAGCCCTGGCTTTCTGGGGATGGGGGTCCTGTGGTGCTGCCCATACTACACCCACATGGTACCCACCTCACACAGGTGCCCCTGCTCCTCCTTCTGCTTCCCATCTCCTCTCTCATTCCCACCGTCACTTCTGTAGGCCAGGCCACCATCACCCTTAACTGCCAACTTCGACATAGCTTCTCACAGTCCCCTCCTAATGTGGGTGTAAACACACACACACACACACACACACACACACACACAATCTGTTCCCCACATGGAACCAGCAGAGTGACTGCTCTATTTTTCTGAGTAGAGTTCTCCAATGTTTCTGATTGCACCGAGGACCAAGCCCACACCTGGATGGGCAGGGCTGAGCTCAAGTCCCCTGCTGTATCCCCTACTGGCACCTCTAGAATTCACTGCTGGGGAGACCCTCCAGCCTTCACTCTGCAAAGCAGCCCCTGACATCCTCCTCTCTCCGCCCCCTCTCCTGCATAGCCCTGGCTGAAGTCTCTCTGTCCCCTTTGGAGCCTCTCACTACCCTGGGGTCTGGAGACTCCTGTGCCCTGTGTTCTCTCTGCAGAGCCGCAGGCTCCTGGGCCTTCCCCCTGCTGGGCTCACCCGTGTGTGGTCACTGTTCCACACAGGTGGGCGCCCAAGTAAGGAGTCTCCTTGCAGAGATGGTTTTAGGATTAGAACCTGCACATGGAGCTGGGTTCTTTGGGGGAGACTTGGTTATTTGGGGGCTTTCCAAATCTGATTCCTGGGTCAGAAGCTTCTAAATCAGAGATTCTAAACCATGATCTGGCAGCCACACCTTGAAGGCCACAGCTGGGAGGGGCCACCCCTCCCCAACACATACCCCGCTTCAACCTGGGCACTCCTGCTTGAGTTGACCGGTTATCTCCGAGCTCCCTGTAGAATGTTGTTTGGAGAAAGCCTTCTGGGATTTTAAAACCTCACTTGCATATCAGTTGCCGGTCCAACAACATTCACAAAACACTTCAGAGCAGACAGTTGTTTGTTTGCTTGTTTTTTTTTTTTTTTTAACCTTTATGCTTTTATCTTATACCTTAACTTCATTTTGACTCACAAGGAAACTGAGGCTCCAACAGGTGAAGTGGCCTGCCCAAGGTCACGGGCAATGCTTACAGCATAAAAATAGCTGGATCCAAACCCAAGTAGTTGGGCTCCACTGCTCTTCTCCCCCAGTGACATCTTGAGGGGCACATGATGTGTCCCCACCAAGTCCTGGGGCCCTGCCAGGGACTCACCCTGCCTCTGTTCCTCCCAGTGCTGCATCGACAACTTTGAGGAAATTGTCAAGTTGCTCCTTTCCCATGGTGCGAACGTGAACGCCAAGGACAATGAGCTGTGGACACCCCTGCACGCGGCAGCCACCTGCGGCCACATCAACCTGGTGAAGATCCTCGTTCAGTAGTACGTGCCCGGCTCTCCCCAAGAGAGACCCCTCTCTCACTTGCTTTATTCACCCCGAGTTTATTCATTCTCCTCCCTCCCTGATCTTCCTCTCTCCTCCCTTCCTCCTTTCCCCTTCCCCCCTTCCCTTCCTTCCATCTTCTTGCCACTCTTTCTTGGTCTCTGTTGGTGCCTGACACATTCTCTCTCTTCCCTTTTCTCTGTCCACGTCTGTGTGTCTCTCTCTTTCTCTCTCCACCTCTCTCTCTCTTTCACTCTTGGTCCCTCTCAATCTTCTCTGCTCTTTGTCTCAATTCTTTCCTCCTTCATCATTTTCCCCCTTTTGTTTCATTGTGGCAAAATGCCAATGACATACAACTCACCATCTTGACCAAGAAGCGTGCAAGTCGGTGGTATTAATTATATTCTCACTATTGTGCAAACACCACCACCGTCCACACCAGAACTCTTTTTATCTAGAAAAATAGAAACACTGTACCTATTAAACTATGATCCCTCCTATTCCATGCCTACCCCCCAAATTCCTGGTCACCCATTCTACTTTCTGCATTTATGAATTTAATTCTTCTAAGAATCTCTTTGAAATGGAATCATATACGATTTGCCTTTTTGCACCTGGTTTATATCATTTGGCATAATGTCCTCAAGATCATCCAGGTTGTCACATGTATCAAAATTTTCTTCTCATTTAAAACTGAGTGTGTGTGTGCACACTTGGGTATACTCACATCACATTCCATTGTGTATGTATGTTCCATTGCTTGTCCATTTGTCTTTAATTGACACTCTGTTGCTTCTGTATTCTAGCTATTGTGAATAATGTTGCTTTGAATGTGAACTTTCAAATATCTCTCGGAGACTCTGCTTTCTGTTCATTTTGGTATATACCCAGAGGTGCAATTGCTGGACCCTATGATAATTCTATTTTTAATTTTGTTGAGGAAATGCCACGCTGTTTTCCACAGTGGCTGTGCCATTTTACATCCCCGTCAGATGTGCTCAAGGGTTCCAGTTCCCTTCCATCTCTGCCAACACTTACTATTTTCTGGATATTGATGGTTTACTTTTTGTTGGGTGGTACATAGTCATCATTATTTGTCTGAGGTGATATCTCATTGTGATTTTGATTTGCATTTCACTAATAATTAGTAATCTTGAGCATCTTTTCATTGCTTATTGTCTGTAAAACTTCTTTTGGAGAGATTGTCTATTCAAGTCCTTTGCTCATTTTTGAATCAGGTTCTTTTTGTTGTTGAGATTTAGGAGTTCTTTGTATATTCTGAATATGAATCCCTTATCAGAAACTTGCAAATATATCATATTTGCAAACATTTTCTTTCATTCTAAGGGTTACCTTTTTACTTTATTGATGGTGTTGTTTGATGCACAAAATCTCAAATTTTCATGAAATCCAATTTGTCTATTTTTTGTTGTTATTATTGTTATCTGTCCTTTGGTTTTGTATCCAAGAAATCATTATCAAATCCAATGTTGTGAAGTTTTTCTTCCAAGCATTTTATAGTTTTAGGTTCTACATTTAGGTCATGCATCCATTTTGAATTAAATTTTGTGTGTATTATTAGGTAAGAATCCCACTTATTTCTTTTGTATGTAGATGCTTAGTTGCTTAGTTTTCTTAGCAAATATTGTAAATATTGTGTTTCTCCATGGAACAATTTGGTATCCCATAGAAAATTAATATTTAAGTGGAATTTTGTTTCTGGATTCCATTTTACTCCCATTGACCTATTTCTCTGTCTTTAGACCAGTACCACTCTTTTTAAATTTTTTCCAGTACTGGGGATTGAACCCAGGGATGTTCTACAGTAAGCTACATCCCTAACTCTTTTTGTTTTTTATTTTGGACAGGGTTTCACCAAGTTGCTGAGGTTGGTCTCAAACTTGCAATCCTCCTGCCTCAACCTGAGTTGCTGGGATTACAGGAATGTACCACAATGCCTAGCATCCCACTGTTTTCATTACTGTAGCTTTGTAAGTTCTGAAATCAGGAAGTTTGAGTTCTCCAGCTTTGTTCTTATTTATTTATTTAGGATTATCTTGGCTATTGTGGTCCCTTGATATTTCACATAAATATTAAGATAAGTTTTCTATTCTGCAAAAAGCATTCTTGAAATTTTGGTAGGGATTGCATTAAATGCATAGATTGCTTTGTGTAGTATCAACATCTTAACAATATTAAATCTTCCAATCCATGAACATGGGATGTCTTTCCATTTACTTCTGTCTTTTAAAACTTTTTTCAGAAATTTTTTTCCAATTTCATTGTCCAAATTTCTAATCTCGTGGATTAAATTAATTTCTAAGTATTTCAGTCTTTTTGATGCTATTGTAAATGGAATTGTTTTCTTAATTTTTTTTCAGATTTTTCACTGTCAACTTATAGAAATGCAATTGATTTTGTGCAATGACTTTTTATCTTGCCAGTTTGTTGAATTTGATTATTAATTCCAACAGTTTTTTTTTTTTTGGTGTGTGTGKGGGGGGGTATGTGTAGAATTTTTAGGGTTTTCTGCATATAAGATTGTATCATTTGTAACAAGTATAATTTTATATATTTTATATCTTCCTTTCCAGTTTGGATGCCTTTTATTTTTCCTGCATAATGGCTTTGGCTAGAACCTCCTGTGTTGAGTAGAAGTGGCAAAAGTGGGCATCTTTGCCTTGTTCTTGGTCTTTGAGGAAAAGTCCTCAGTCTTCCACTATTGAGTGTGATGTCTGCTGTGGGTTTTTTCCATATGGCTTTTATTATGTTGAGGTAGTTTTCTTCTGTTTCTAGTTGGTTGAGTATTTTTGTCATGAAATGGCATTAAATTTTGTCAAATGTTTTTTCAGCATCAATTGAGATGATTGTGTGGTTCTCTTCTTCCTTCTGTTTATGTGGTGTTTTACATTGATTGACTTTTGCATGTTGAATCATCCTTGTGCCCCAGGGATAAATGCCACTTGTTTGTGGTGGGATCCTTTGATATGCATCCTTTGAATATTTTGCCAAATTTGGTTTGCTAGTATTTTGTTGAGGATTTGCATCATCATTTATTAGGGAAATTAGTCTATAATTTTCTTATACTGCTTTTGCCCAGCTTTAGGATCAGAATATCATCCTATTTTTATTATCTCCTTTTCTTTTCTCCATAAATCTACCTTTATCTCCTTTTCTTAAAGCATTGTTGCTATTTTGTTTGTCTTGGTATTTATTAAAATATATATGCAAACACACACACACACACACACACACACACACACACTCCTTGGTCTTACCTTCAAAGCCTGTCCACATGCTTTTCTTTAAGGCAGAACTTGTTTTGTGTTTTTTTGTATAGGAGGCACCATACAGCAGTGTCTTTCCCAGGAGTAAGACCATTTATTTCTATACCACTGTGAAGGTCTTTTCCCCCCTGAAATTCTTCCTAGACTTCTCAGATTCTATAATCATACAGAGAAAGCACCTTCGATTTTAAATGTATTCATTTGAATCTAGCTGGTGGGCTTCTAAACTGGGCTAGATTCTGTGCTAGGCATTGGGCACATAGGGGATGCAAAAGTCCTGTGGAGTCAGGCAGAATATCAGGGCAGGGACAGAGCAAGACCAATGGGAGTAAGTGTAAGTGGCCTCCCTGTGACCAAAGACAGCATCTGAGTGCGGGGAGCCAGGACGAGTAGCTGAGGGTGGGGAACATTTTGCACAAGTCTTGGCAAGCAGCAGGAGCCCATCAGGTGGCTCCCAGAGGTGGAGTGGACGGTGACAGTACTGCTTCCCCAGCTCAGATAGGTGGATTAGCTTGCTCAAGGGCACCCAAGAGCTCAGGGAGGTCACAGTAGAGGACTGAGTATGGCTAAGTCTGCCAGGAGCATCAGGTAGCTACATTCTGGATCTGCAATGATGCCCAGAAGACAAAGGGATGGTACTGGTCCGATTCAGTGGGTCCTCAATGCTGATCTGAATCAGAATCACCTGAGGCCTGGATTTAAAATACATATTCCCTGGCCTCACCTCCAGAGATTGTTTCAGAAGGGCTGGAGCGAAGCCTCTTATTTCAATGGTCCCCAGGTAATTTTGCTGTATGGTGCCCCCACACAGCCGTGCTTGGACACTGCTGGCCCAAAAGGTGAATTCTGCCAGGGAGTCCCAAAGCTTTGTTCTGCCCCTGTCCTGGCCAGCATTTTGGGTGGGGACTTAGAGGAGTGTCTGCATATCAACAAAGACTGACATAGAACAAGAAGTGAAAAGAGCTAACACAAGAGAGATCAGAGTTTGAGTCTTGGCCCTATCTCATCCAAGCTATTTGACATTGGATGTGACAGAGTTTTTTGAGTCTTTTTCCCTCCTGAGATGAGGTACCACCCCATGGGGACTATTATGAGGATTAAATAGGATGACATGTATTAAGGGCTTAGAGCAGGCACCTGGTGATTGGTCCCATTGCTGTTTATATTTTTAGTATTGTCACCAGGGAGAATTTTAATATCTGTCCCTAGGTGCCCACCTGCTGCTTCAACAGAACAGGAAGCAGAGAGAGGTCTTCTAGGACTTTGGTCTATTCTACCTGGGGCCCTGGGATGCCAAAGCCATGAGCATCACTTTGCTGGGTGCCCATGGTGGAGTCATGGATGCTGGGGGTGTGGCTGCGAGGCCAGAGGCAGAGGCTTCCGGACCAACCCTAGCCACACCCACCGGGCCCTCACCCTGACCCTTTCTCTGCAGTGGGGCTGACTTGCTTGCTGTCAACTCTGATGGGAACATGCCATATGACCTCTGCGAGGACGAGCCCACCCTGGATGTCATTGAGACCTGCATGGCGTACCAGGGTAAGGGAGGACGGCATGCTATGAATTGGGCACAGTATGGCAAGGAGTGTCGCTTAGATTAATGCAAGTGGACGTGTTAGCTGTATGCCTGCCTCCTTATGCTCAGGCTGCAGTCAATGTGATAGTTGCTCATGATTATTGTTATCTGTGTGATTAACAAGATAAGGACACGAAAGGACCCTGAAAAGCGTGCAATGCTGAAGGGAGATATTGTTCTCATCCCTGTCACCCACACACGCGGGCAGCCTCAGCTGGCCTTGTCTCCTCTTCGTCAGCTGTGACAATTCAGTAAACAGTCACCATAAAGATATATTTCCATTTGGGAAAATAATAAAAAGTTAAGAACATTTTGCGGGTGCCGCTCTGTGCCAGGCACCAAGCTGGCTGCCAGGGGCCTGGATAAACAAGATGTGGGCTGTTCTCAGCTCACGAACGAGGCTCAGAGAGGAAACAGTGCAGCAATGGGAGAGGCCACCTGCTTGGGCACCCCCCCACCATGCTTGCCTCTGAAGCACCTCCCCGTAGACAGGCCTCCAGTCCAGACCTCAGCTGCAGCCCAAGGTCCTGACTGGCCCTGGCCTTGAGAGTCTCCTCAGATAGCTGCAGTTACCACTGACTAGGTCTCTTTGTTCCCTGACACCTAAGCACTTCCATCACCTTCTGCAGAGGTTCTTAATGATGTTTGTGCCAGTCTGGTGACTCTATAGACTCCTTCTCAGAATAGTGTCACTCAACGTAGCTAAGAGATCATAGAATTGTCAAGGAAGTCAAATTATACTTACACGTAGCTACCGGAATATTTTAAAATACATTAGGTAGAAACTTCATTAATTCATTAAACAGTAATATATCAATAAGGGAACCCCTACTTTCTGTTCATGATAAACTCACAGGCTCTGACTGCTAAGACTATCGTGGGGTTTGCTTTTATTCTAATGTAGGAAATTCTAAATTTAATTTAACCAAAATAAGCATGTGTTTTATTTCATCTCTTCAAGTTTATAGACCTCTTGAATTTTATTCAAGGGTGCTTGTTCGAATAATCAAATAATCTTTTTATAGAGCATGTCATCTTCTCCTTAAGTACCATTAGTAGCTGCCAGTAACAGCTATACTTTTTAGCCTGCAGTCTAGGCTATCAAGTGTCTTTCTAGACCCTTCTGCCTCTATTTACTCAACTCTTCAAGTAATAGATTCATTAATTCAGTCATTTCTGCAACCAAAATATATTGAGTCCTGTATACCTGGTGCTGCAAACACAACTGTGGGCCAGACCAAGGAAACTAGCAGTGGGGAAGTGATACAGGCTGGGACCTAAAGAGAGAGAGAGAGCTGAGTGCAGTGGCTCCTGCCTGTGATCCCAGCAAACTGGGAGGCTGAGGCAGGAGGATTACAAGTTTGAGGCCAGCTTCAGCAACTTAGTGAGACCTACCTCAAAATAAAAAGGACTAGATGTAGCTCAGTGGTAAAAAATACCCCTGAGTTCAATCTCTAGTACCAGAGAGACAGAGAGAGTGAGGTGAGGGAGAGAGAGACAGAGCCAGGCAGTTAAGCAGGTGGAGGCAGGTAGGTGGGTAGTTGGGACTTTTAGATAGGGGTACAGCAAAGTGACCAAGATCAATACTGTGCCTACTGAGTGCCAGGCAAAAATGGCTCTTTCTCTGTGGGTCAACTTGTGGTGTTCATTTCATCGGGCCTGGGGGACAATGGTTTGTGGGCTTGTCTGTGTGCCCCTTGACTGGAAGACCCTGGGGTCGGGAACCACACCTCCCCACCTGCCCTCCCTCCCCTTTGTGGCCCCTGCATGAGGATGCTGATTTGGTCCTCTTTTTCATTCTGCAGGAATCACCCAGGAGAAAATCAACGAGATGCGGGCGGCCCCTGAGCAGCAGATGATCTCGGACATCCATTGTATGATTGCAGCTGGCCAGGACCTTGACTGGACAGATGCCCAGGGTGCCACATTGGTGAGAAGATGGGCCAGGCTGGTGGGGCTGGGGAAAGGTAACAGAACCAAGACCTCATAGACTTGGAGTGGACCAGCCCCTGGTGGTCAGGGCTGGGAGTCAGGAGCCCTGGATGCTAGGCTTGGATCTTCTGTGCACACGTTCTGTCTCCAAGATCCTTCTTCACTGCAGGCTCCTGGTACCCCTCTTGAGCAATCCCCTCCTCCAGTGATGTCCCTCTCTCAAGGACTGATGCCACGATTCACCCACTCACCTGTGCCATCTTGCTTTGCACTGTCCATTCCCCTGCCTTAGTGTCTCCTCTCCTCCCCCACTGCCTTCCCTCATCAGCTCTCCCTGATTCTTCAGCAACAGCCTCTCCTCTGGGCTCCCTGTCTTCAGAAGCTAGACTCCCCCAATCATCCATCCATCATTCCATCCACCCTTTATCCATACAATCACCACAGTTATGAGCACCTCTCCTATCACTTCACAGTTAGGAGCACCTCTTCTGTCACATGCTTTCTAGACAAAACAATGGAACCTTCTTCCCTCTCTCATTTGCCTAACTTTCATTTGCTTAACTCCACTTCTTGCAGCCAAGTGTCAATGATTTAGGGAAACATCCCTGTCTTCTGCTCCAAGACCCTCAAGCATCCTGGAGCTCACTACTATGGAGAGAGAGTCGGCTTCTGCAGCCGCTAAACTGAAAACAAGGGCATGGACTTGGAATCCCACCCCCACAAAGGCTGAGCACTGCACGGAGCTTAGGCTCTGTGCGGGTCATGGGCATCCAGGGGTCTCAAGTTCAGTAGGTAGAGCTCCATAGTACCAAGGTCCCTTCATGGCCCCTCAGGGATGACCTGGTGGGCCAGGAGAGATAACTGTAGGACATCTCCTACCTGGGTTCATAACTCTGACCCCTACTTCACACTCATTTCTATCAACTGGGTCCCTGCTTGGATCATCTTCTCAGCCTGAAACTTAAGAATAGGGTCACATAGTGAGATTGAATGCTTCCGGCGTCAGGGAGGCCCTCCAACCCGGGCGAGGCACATATTAGGTCTCAAGTCTTCCCAGAAAGCTTGAGATAATATATCTTCTTCCCAGGAATGTTGAGAGGTTAAGTGAGATTCTGCATGTAGGTGCTCAGCACCAAGTCTATAAACTCAGCAGATCTTAGCAATGATCAGTCTCATATTAACAGTGTCACTATCCCACTCATGCCTTATATTCACAGCCAAGTACCAAGCTCCAGGGCTCAGCACTCTGTATGGGAACCACAGAGGAGAAGAACTCTCTTTGCCTTCTCTTCTAGATCTGTATTCCAGATTTAATAACCCTCTGCAATATAGCTGATATTCCCACCTCATTCTATTCCGTTCTGCTGGCCTCGAAGATGCTCTGGGATGTTGGTGGGGGTGAGGGATACGTGCCTGCAAATGTGGGGCCATCCCCCAGGGAAGGCTCACCTTTTCCCTCTCTTCCAGCTGCACATAGCTGGAGCCCATGGATACCTGCGTGCAGCTGAGCTCCTCCTGGACCACGGAGTCCGTGTGGATGTGAAGGACTGGGATGGCTGGGAGCCCCTGCATGCAGCAGCCTTCTGGGGACAGGTAGTTCACACTGACAGGGATGTGGGGGAGGCCAGCACAAGGACATCCTACTGTCAACAAGTCCTTGAGCTGGCAGTTGGTTCAGAAAACCCACTTAAGGTGTTGACTACAGCAGGTACGTGGGATGAAGACTCAGGGAGTTGTAAAGACGTTTGGTGTCTTAATGAAATGATAATCAAATTTTCCCAAGTAGAAAATTCCCATCATTTCTGCATTGAGTATTTTCTCCATTTGTTTCCCAGATAGGATTGCAGCATACACAGTCCCTCCTCCGATTCCTGACAGCTCTTGAGTCACAGCCAGCTCCTCCTCCTTCTCCCCATTGGTGTGACCAAGGCATGAGGAGGGGCTTCCACGCCCATTGCATCTTCCCGGGTCCCCCCATGGCTCCAGGTTGAGGATCTTCCCTGGGAATCAACTTAGATCCACCATACTTTGCATACCTGCAATCCCAGCTACTCATGAGGCTAAGGCAAGAGGATCATGAGTTCAAGGCCAGCCTGGGAAACACAGCAAGGCCCTGTCTCAAACACACAAACAAAAAAATCCCACGAAGCCCTGGTTTGATCTCCAGCATCATCAAGTTAAAAAAATACAACTAAGAGGCTTGGGCACCCTCTGCTTCCTAGGCTTTGTGATGCCTGGTCAAGGGAACAAGGGCTTCTTCTCCTGTTTCAGATGCAGATGGCAGAGCTACTGGTGTCCCATGGAGCTAGTCTCAGTGCAAGGACTTCCATGGATGAGATGCCAATAGGTAAGTCCAGACAGTACCTGGTAGGCACAGAGGCACGGCGTTTCAATGGGTGAAAGATAAATGGATGACTATATGGCTGAATGGTGTGGGATGGGTGTGGATTTAGGTAGATGGATGAAGACTGCATTAATAATGATAGATTAATGAACAGATGAATGAATAGATGGATGGATGGATGGATGATGTTGATGGGTAGATGTGTTAATATGTAGCTGAATGGCTGGCTGGCTGGATAAATGGGTGGGCAGAGGATGAACCTAAGGATAGATAACTAGGTCAACAGGTAGATGGATAGGTGGATAAAGGGTTAGGTAAAGTGGGTTGTGTATGTTTCTCAGTTTCTTTGCATAACTTTTTGCTTGAGCCACAAGGATGAGGTTATGCCATTTCTCTCAAGAGATTCTCCCAGAAACTATCAAAGAGGAGTATGAGGCCCTCTGTCCCAGCTGGGAGCCTTGAGAGCTGTGACTGTGCATGAAACTGGGGGTTCCCATTCTTGCCCTCTTCTAAGGATGTGGTTATAGCCCAGGAAATACGCCTGGCCTTGTTTTCTCCCTCCTGCGTGCCCCAAAAGGCTTTGCAGCTTTCAGTGGGCTCGGGTGGTGGCTCCTCTTGTCAGGGGTACCCTCTCAGGCCACAGGTCCCTGCTCTGCCCCTGACAACTGCTTTCTCTGCCCCCCAGACCTGTGTGAGGAGGAGGAGTTCAAGGTCCTGCTGCTGGAGCTCAAGCACAAGCATGATGTGATCATGAAGTCACAGCTGAGGCACAAGTCGTCCCTGAGCCGGAGGACATCCAGCGCGGGCAGCCGTGGGTGAGTCAGGAGCAGGGCAGCTAGGGTCCCCCTGCATGCCCTTGCCTGTGGTACCTGGGCACAGCCTCCAGCCCCTGCTCTGTCCCCTCAGGAAGGTGGTGCGTCGAGCCAGCCTTTCGGACAGGACCAACCTATACAGAAAGGAGTACGAGGGCGAGGCCATACTGTGGCAGCAGCGGAGCGCAGCCGAGGATCAGCGCACCTCCACCTACAATGGGGACATCCGGGAGACCAGGACAGACCAAGAGAATAAGGACCCAGTGAGTGACCTCCCACGCCGCCCGGTGTCAGCCATTGCCTTGGGAGAGTAGGGCCAGGCCTGGTTTTTCCCTTTATATGAGAACCTTCAGAGGGAAATAGCTGGCTCTTAAGCAGCTGGATCCCGTCCAGTTGTGGTGGCTTCTGTAGTTAATGTGGTGGCCCTCGGGTGTGTTAGTCAGAGCTGGGAGCTTGGGATGCAGGAGGGAGATAGTGACAGCCTTGTGCCTCCTTGTTCCCCAGCAGATCTGGTTTGGAACTCTCCAGAAGACAGGTTCAGTAGGTTGGTCATCCCAGGAGCTAAGGGACCTCTAAGAAACCTGTTCCAGAAGCTGCTAGTGGGCCTGGGCTTTGAAGTGCTTTCCTGTAATGTGCATATTAATTTCCTGTGGCTACTGTAACAAATTATGGTGGCTCAGGTGTTCCTTGACTTTTGTTAGCATGACTTCAATCTCCACCTCTGTCTTCACAGGCCTTCTTCCTGTGTGTCTGAGTCTCTTTCTTCTTCTAAGGACATTGTTGGATTAGGGCTCACCTCAGTCCAGTATGACTATGTCTTAATTTAGCTAATTAAGACCCTATTCCAAATAATCACATCCAGAGGTCCTGGGTTCTGATCGACCCAGTACCAACAGGGTCAGGTCCATGCGTGGCAGCTGTCTTACTAATTGGAGAGGTCAAGTTTAGGGCTAGAGCAGAATTGCTGAGCAGAAGGGAGGAGCTAGCTGTACTTTCAGGGATCATTCTTTCTGGCAGTGAATAGATGAAACACTCCTGGAGGATATTGCTTAGGGCGAGATGCAAAGTGATAAGCTGCCTGGAATGCCCATGGAGGTCACTCTCAGGCTGTCTCATTAGCATGAGTGAAGGCACCTGCCAAGGGAATGCTGGGCGCAGAAAGGGTACAAGGGCAAGCCCTGTTCTGCCCAGCCCTAAGCCTAAGGGAGGGAAGGAAAGAATTGTAGATCAAAAAATCACATTCACATGTTTCCCAGCTATGCTTTATTTTTTCTCTGTGGTTGAAGCGTACCTTATATATGGTATAATATTCAAATCTTAAGTGAGTTTTCCAATTTTTTTTCAGTTGTTGATGGACCTTTATTTTATTTACTTATTTATATGTGGTGCTCGCACATGCCAAGCAAGCACTCTGCCACAACCCCAGCCCTTTCCAATTTTTTTTTTTTAATAAATGTGTGTGCTTAGATGAGTCTCTAGAACATTATCACCCTTGAAGGATCCTGTGGTCCCTCTCTCCATCAATCCCTTCCCCTACCCCCTATTTAATTTTGAGTGCTTCGATGGGTTTTGCATATGTATATGTATGAATGGATCTGTGCGGTATGTTGTCTTTTGTGTTTGGCTGCTTTATGTCTGCATCCATGTGTGGCATATAGTACCAGATCATTCTTCTTTGCTCTGTGGAATACAGTCAGCCTTCCATATTTGTGGGTTCTGCATCTGCGGATGCAACCAACCTTGGATTGAAAATATTTTTTGGAAGACTATGCCCATACTGAACATGTACAGATGCTTTTTGTATCATTATTCCCTAAACAATGTAGCATGACAGCTATTTACATAGCATATGTATTGCATTAGGTATTGTAAGTAATCTAAGAAGATATAAAGTATACAAGAGTATATATGAAAGTTATATGCAAATGTGACATCATTTTATATGAGAATTTGACCATCTGAAGATTTTGGGATCCACAGGGGGTTCTGGAACTAGGAACCACACTTAGGACTGATTCTGTTGTTGTTGTTGTTGTTAATCTCTGGGCTTCCTCATTAAGACTATAACCTGTTTGATTTTATATAAGGCAAATAGATGGGTTCATTTGCCTCTGGGGATGGATTTTTCAGGCCTGGGGAAAAGAGGAGGTGCAGAGAAAGTATGGCCAGAGCAGGACCACGTCACCTTGCAACCCACCTCCAGGCAGCTCTCAGCATCCAGGGCCCCATGCAAACTCCAGCCCCGATCCTGGAGGAAACAAGATCACAGGACACAGCGACAGAGTTCAAAGCTTGTTCCTTTTCCATCCCTATTCCTTTCAAGGCTTCAGGTGTTAGCATATGGTAGTCTCTAAGGTGGGAATTCTCAAAGTGTGGTCCCTGGACCAGCAGCATCAGCATCACCTGGGAACTTGTGAGAGGAGCAGATGTCCAGCCCCACCCCAGCCATACTGAATCAGCAGCCTTGGCCTGGGGTCCAGCTGTGCTTAACCAGCCTTCAGGTGTAGATTCTAATGACACAAGGATTTGAGAGCCACTTATCTGAGAGGGTATTTGTTCAGCTTGCCCCCAACATTAGATTCCCACCATGGCTCTGGCCTGTGAGCCCCCCACCCCAGGCCAAGTTTGCTTCACTCGTTTGTTTTTTTTTTTGGTACGGGGGATTGAACTCAGGGGCACTTGGCCACTGAGCCATATCCCCAGCCCTATTTAGAGACAGGGTCTCACTTAGCACCTTGCTTTTGCTGAGGCTGACTTTGAACTCACAATCAAAGTCCGCCTCCTGAGCCTCTGGGATTACAGGCGGGTGCCACTGCACCTGGCTTTGCTTCACTCTTTGGCAGAGCTAACTCCCTAGTCCTGGGCATAACCACAGTAGGCTCTTCAACCTGTGGTTTAACTGTGCAACAAAAATCACTTCAGGAGGCCTGAGGTGGTGGCTCAGTGGTAGAGTGCTTGCCTAGCATGTGTGAGGCACTGGGTCCAATTCTCAGCACTGCATATAAAAAAATGAATAAAATAGAGATCCAACAACAAATATGTGTGTGTGTGTGTGTGTGTGTGTGTGTGTGTGTGTGTGTCACCCAAACAGATTTTTTTCTTTCTTTCTTAGAAAACAAAAACTCTTAATGTTGAGGCATCACCCAGACTTATGAAATCAGAATCTCCTTGGTGGGGACCCAGGCATTGTATTTATGAATTTCTTTTTTTTTATCAATATATTTTTTGAGGAATTTTAAGTTTGCAGGAAATTAGTGGAAAGTATAGACAGTTCTTATGTACCGCTTCTTCATGCTCCTGAGATTCCCCTTTTATTAATATCTTGCACTAATGTAGCACATATATATCACTGATGAGCCAATGTTGGGACACTAATTATTAGCTAACACCTCCAGTTCACAGGAGGTGCACTATGGGTTGTACATTCTGTGAGTTTTGACAAATGCAGAGTGTCGCACATGCATCTATCATATACCATGCAGGGTGCTTTCAGTGTTCCCCCAAACCCATGGTGCTCCACCTATTCATCTTCCCCAAACCCTGGCAACCTCTGATCTTGTACTGTATGCATAGTTTTGCCTTTCCTGGAATATCATACGGTTGGAATCATGTAATATGTAGTCTTTTCAGATTGTCATTATATACATCTGTCACTTTGTATCCATGGGGACTTGGTTCCAGAGGAACCTCCACTGATACCCAAAGCAGTGGATGTTCAAATCCTTTATATAAAATGCATATAACCAGGCAATCTTCCCATTACTTATGGAAGATGATTTATAATACCCAATACCAATGTAAATGCTATGTAAATTGTTATGCTGTATTTGTCTAAAGAATAATCCTAAGAAAAAAGTCTATACATGTTTAGTATTTGTTTTGTGTTAATTTTTTTTTCCATCCAAGGTTGATAGAATCTGCAGGTGCAGAACCTACAGATAGGAAGGGCTGACTGTAAATGTCTTTTTGATTCTCCAGATGATTCCAGTGTGTATCCAAATCAGTTTCTTAGGTCCTTGCTACTCAAAGCCTCAACAGCAAAGTGTTTCAAATGCTGTGTCAGGCCCCAAATTAGATCTATTGAATCAAAATAATGTATTTTAATAAGATTCCCCAGGTGACTCATTTGCACATTAAGGTTTGAGAACCACTGAGTTGGACCATCAAAATCTGTGTGCATCTCCCCTGCTTTCTGTGATATGGCATTGATCTGCCTGCTTGGTTCAGAAGAAGCCATAAATAAATAAATAAATAAATATACTATGGAAAGTGTCTGTCCCAATGTTATATTTTAACCTAATTTTATGTTTCCTGGGGATCTTTCCATGCCAACATGTGGAGACTTCCTTCATTCTCTTTACCAGTTGCAGAACATTGCAATGCAGGGGCTGGTCACAATTTTTGCTTGCCCAGAGATGACGTGCAGGCCTTTATGTACTCATGAGGGAGTTTGTCTGTGAAACAAGTCCTAGAAACAGTCTTGCTGGTGCACAGCATAGATCCTTATTTTTTTATTTAATTGATTTTATTTTTTAAATACATGACAGTGGAATGCATTACAATTCTTATTACACATATAGAGCACAATTTTTCATATAAAGAATGTTCACACCAATTCATGGTTTATACATTTGTTATGTTTTTGCATTACAGTTCTTACTACACATATATACCACAATTTTTCCACATCTCTGTTTGTATATAAAGTAGGTTGACACCCAATTCGTGTCTTCATACATGTACTTTGGATAATGATGTCCATCACATTCCACCATCCTTCCTAATCCCCTGCCTCCTCCCTGTCCCTCCCACCCCTCTTCCCTATCTAGAATTCATCTATTCCCCCCATGCTTCCCCTCCCTACCCCACTATGAGTCAGCCTCCTTATATCAGAGAAAACATTCGGCATTTGGCTTTTTGGGATTGGCTAACTTCACTTAGCATTATCTTCTCCAATTTCTTCCATTTACCTGAAAATGCCATGATTTTATTCTCTTTTAATGCTGAGTAAAATTCCATTGTGTATAAATGCCACATTTTTTTTATCCATTCATCCACTGAAGGGCATCTAGGTTGGCTCCACAGTTTAGCTATTGTGAATTGTGCTGCTTTAAACATTGATGTGGCTGTGTCCCTGTAGTATGCTGTTTTTAAATTATTTGGGTATAGTCTGAGGAGAGGGATAACTGGGTCAAATGGCAGTTTCATTCCCAGATTTCCAAGGAATCTCCATACTGCTTTCCATATTGCCTGCACCAATTTGCAGTCCCACCAGCAATGTATGAGTGTACCTTTTTCCCCACATCCTCACCAACACTTACTGTTTTTAGTCTTCATAATAGTACCATTCTGACTGGAGTGAGATGATATCTTAGAGTAGTTTTGATTTGCATTTCTCTGATTGCTAGAGATGATGAGCATTTTTTCATATATTTGTTGATTGACTGTATATCTTCTTCTGTGAAGTGTCTGTTCAGGTCTTTGGCCCATTTGTTGATTGGGTTATTTGTTTTTTTGGTGTTTAGTTTTTTGAGTTCTTTATATACCCTAGAGATTAGTGCTGTATCTGATGTGTGAGGGGTAAAAATTTGCTCCCAGAATGTAGGCTCTCGGTTCACCTCACAGATGGTTTCTTTTGCTGAGAAAAAACTTTTTAGTTTGATTCCATCCCATTTATTGATTCTTGGTTTTAATTCTTGCGCTATAGGAGTCTTATTAATGAAGTTGGGGCCTAATCTCACATGATAAAGATTAGGGCCTACTTTTTCTTCTATTAGACACAGAGTCTCTGGTTTAATTCCTGGGTCCTTGATCTGTTTTGAATTAAGTTTTATGCATGGTGAGAGATAGGGGTTTAATTTCATTTTGTTGCATATGGATTTCTAGTTTTCCCAGCACCATTTGTTGAAGATGCTATCTTTTCTCCAGTGCATGTTTTTGGCACCTTTGTCTAATATAAGATAATTGTGATTTTGTGGGTTAGTCTCCGTGACCTCTATTCTGTACCATTGGTCTACCAGTCTGTTTTGGTGCCAATACCTTGCTGTCTTTGTTATTATTGCTCTGTAGTATAGTTTAAGGTCTGGTATAGTGATGCCATCTGCTTCACTCTTCCTGCTAAGGATTGCTTTAGCTATTCTGGGTCTCTTATTTTTCCAGATGAATTTCATGATTGCTTTTTCCATTTCTATGAGGAATGCCATTGGGATTTTGATCAGAATTGCATTAAAATAGATCCTTATTTTAAAAAATATTTTTTGAGCATGTGTGAGACCCTGGGTTCAACTCTTAGTACTGAAAAACAAAGCAAAAAAAAAAAAAAAAAGGTGCTTAGGTCTTTTAAAATTGACTTCTAAAGAGCTGTTGATATACTTGGAAAATTAGCCCCTTCTTGTCGCATGTTTCCAGTTTTTCCTGTGCCTGTTCACTCTGTGGAGTGTGCTTTCTATCCTTGCCACTGTCACTTATATGTCCTTGTTGGTGTCTGGCTTCTGGGCAGTGGCTGCTTTTAAAGCTCTTGTTATGCAAGGACCATCCAGCACCCCTAGACAGGAATCTCCATCATGTGCAGTGGGGCTTTGCTGAGAATAGCGAGGAAGGATTACAAGTGATGGGCAAATCCAACTGAAATTGACTCATGCAACCAGCGGAATTTGTTGGCTCATGTAACTGAGAAAATCTGAGCTTAACTGGACCTAAGAGCTCAAAGCACAACATGAGGATGCGGTCTCTTTCTTTCTCTCTCTTTTCCTTTATCCTAATGGTGGCTTCTCCCACAAGCAGAGAAAGCACTTTTAACGTGGCATCTCCATAGCCCCCTTTGACACCATTCTTGCCTCCTGCAGTTCCTACGGAAACTTCTTCTTCCAAGTTGTTCTAGCAAAAGTCCTGGGGTAGAGTTTCACTGAATCACCTTCAGTCAAGGGCTCTTTCCTGGACCCATCCCTGTAGAAAAATATGTGCACTAGCCAGGCCTGGGGGCATGGTCCAGCCCCTGGAGTGAGGATGGGTTGTTCAGCTCTTGCAGAACACGTGGATGTGTGATGCCCTAAAGGAACACAGAGGCCCGATGACCCAGGTAGAGAAAACAGATGGAGAATGCATCAGAATGTCCGTGCCCTCTGCAGAGGTGCGGTGGGTCATGGGTGCAGCCCCTCTAGCCAGTCGGTAATGCTGTTCTTCTCACCCTCAGAACCCCAGGCTGGAGAAGCCCGTGCTGCTCTCAGAATTTTCTACCAAGATCTCCCGGGGTGAACTGGATGGGCCTGTTGAGAATGGCCTCCGGGGCCCAGTCAGTGCCTACCAGTATGCACTGTCCAACGGGGATGTCTGGAAGGTGCACGAGGTGCCTGACTACAGCATGGCCTACAGCAGCCCCAGCGTGGCCGACGCCACCCCGCCCTGGAGCGGCTACAAGGAGCAGAGCCCCCAGACGCTTCTGGAGCTAAAGCGCCAGCGGGCTGCAGCCAAGCTGCTCAGCCACCCCTTCCTGAGCACCCATCTGGGCAGCAGCATGGCCAGGACCGGGGAGAGCAGCAACGAAGGCAAGGCCCCCTTGATCGGAGGCAGAACTTCACCCTACAGCAGCAACGGGACCTCCGTGTATTACACGGTCACCAGTGGAGATCCCCCGCTCTTAAAGTTCAAGGCCCCCATGGAGGAGATGGAGGAGAAGGTCCACGGCTGCTGCCGTATCTCCTAGTCTCGGTGTGCTGGAGGAGAGAGATGCCTGGGGAGGGTCCCTGGAATCCAGGCCAGCCCAACTGCCCTGACTGGGGAGGCATCACAGGGCAGCCGGGGAGAGGTGGGCTCTGCCTTCCATAGGAATGCGGACCCCACCCCTTGGCAGCTGTCACAGCGTCCCCACTCCCCACAGTTCTGCTTCTTGCTGCATTGTCTGCCATCTGAAACACAGTGGCCCCCACTCACTCTGCTGCCAGACTGGGGGAGGGCGGGCGGGCTTGGGACCTTAGTTCTGTTCTTGATAAAGGCTTCTGAGGATCAGTACTCCCACGTCTCTTCGCGCGCGCGCRCACACACACACACACACACACACACACACACACACACACTCTCGTGAACTGTCAATCCACATGTTCAGGAATGACACCTGGGCTCATGGAGAGCCGGGGGGGCTGAGAATTTGTGGGCCATTCCCAAAAGGACTGAAGTGAAGACGGTCTTGGCACCACAGCCAGGTGGCTTAAATGGGAGGAACCTGTGAAGCTGAGACCCACAGTCCTGTTCAGAGTTGTACCAGGGTCCTGGGCTACCATCCACACCTGGCAGGGAGAGGAAGTCCTCTCTATGTTCAGGGGAAGCCAGGGTGAGATGTGATGGGCACATCCTTGCTGAGAGCTGCCCTCCTGTCCATATCAGGACACAGGAGCTGTGTGACCACCTAGGGGCTAAGTGGAAAACCAAGCCATTCTACTCTGATTTTGCTCTAGGTGGAGGTATAAAGGGGTGGGATGGAGAGGGATGCAGCAAAGTCAGTGTTTCCAGACTACATTTGATGAAAACATCCTTTTAGGCTGTAAAACTCCAGGTTGGAAGTAACTGAATTCACTTTCTCCCACGATGGTGTCAAGATCAGGTTTACCCGTTGGTGTTGGAAAAATGAAGCTAAGCCAGGAGCTTTGGTTAAGAGGCCCTTTTCCAGGGAGAGGGATGACTTAATTTCTGAGAACATTTCTGGTGAGCAGTGACAGAGCCCAGCCCTTCTTTGTAATTGATTCGGGTTGTTTTGGTCCCGTGCATCTCAGCTAGCCCTCCTCAGACTGAGCCACCAGGGTGAGCAGTTGGGAAGCCTGTGCCCCACGTCTTCTGCCTTACATATCAGTCAAGTGTGCAGAGTGAATGCTCAGGCCCCAGGCCCCGCTTTGCCTTTTCTGGAATGTTCAGTGAGAGGAGTTTGCCAGTTAGCTCTTGTGAGTTCCTGACTGGCCCTAGGGCTCCCAGCCTGCTCCCACTGGGGTAGTGGTACCCCAAGGCTGCAAATCCAAGGTGCCCATGGCCAACATCCTGTACTGCTTTCAGGAGAGGAGTGGGCTTCTCCCTGGCCCTACAATGTCATAGCCCTGGTCGCCCTGATGCCATCTCACCATTGCATTATCTCATGAGCCCCTTTGAAACTCTCACCCTTGAGTCAGGCGCCATCCACAGGCTCAGCCAAATCCTACTGGTGTAACTGACAAGCTGCAGGTTTGTTTCCTGCTCTGTGCGCCTTTATTTATCCTAAAACTACCTCCTTAGAGCTCTGAAGGAGCCTTCTAGGTCCAGATTCTGATGTGGGGAACAGATCAGGGATCCCTCTAACCTTCTTTCTGAGCCTGTGAGAATTCTCCCTGGGTCAGGGGACTGGGGCTGGAGGAGCCCCTGCCTTGTGCCACAACCTAGTAATGGGGTCTGCTCTATGTCAGTCTCTGTCCTGTCTGTGGCCCCCATGGCTCCTATATCCCAGAGAGGAAGCAGGACCTCAAGGGGTCTGGTTGATGCTTTGCCAAGAGCACAGCAGCTGGGCCAGAGAGTGGCCCTGGTGGCTGCAGGAGCAGATCTCCCAGTACCTGGTCACCCCACTCCAACTCCAGGACAGAGGAATCTAGGGCACAGGTGCAGCATTGGAGACTGAAGTCGGGTGTGCATGACACCTCTCGCCTCTCTGGGGTCTGGGAGTAGAATCTCCATCAACTCAGCATATGGCAAAAGCAGGAGAATATCCAAAAAAACCATACTTCTGGCTTTAAAATAGTATGCAACTCCACTAACACTGAGATGCCTCTGTGGCCAACTTGGCCTACAAGGTGGGGCATGCCTGGGCAGCCCCCCTCCTCAGGAAACAACTCTGCAGGTGTTCTGATCTTCCTGAGCAGGGGCCAGGGACTAAAGGCATCTACTTCCCATATTGAGCCCTCCCGGCCATTCCCTCCTTCCTTCCCTCCTTCTTCTGGGTCATTCCTCTCCACCCAGAAGGCTGGGAATCCCAGCTGATTCCCCCATAGGAGCTGACCTTAGAGATGACTCCAGGGCTTTAGCTCTGATTTTCCATCAGGGATAAATGTTCCCTATTAGGACTTTGAGTCCCTGGAGAGCTCTTCCTGGTGGTGGTGGTGGTGGTGGTGGTCTCCTGAATGTTGAGGGACGAGTTAGAGAACAACCTCCAGTGAGTGAACCAGGGTCATCAGTTCATTCATTAACTTCATGAGTAGCTGAAACATACAGGCACTGTGTCAGGTTCTGCAGAAGGAGGAGGAACAAAGACGGAGTGAGGAGAACATTTCCTGGTTTTCATTCCTTCAGGCCACAGACATCAGCAGCCCTACCTGGTTCACCTGAGCAGAGGGACTGCATCCTGGCCCAGGGGCCCCAGGCCATTCAGCTTCTGGAATCCTTAAGTGTGTGAATCCTTTTAACTGAGAAATAGCTTCGTGGCCAACCCTGGATAACATTTGCCACTGAGTGAAGATGCTGGATCTAGGGTCCCAGGCAGACACCATCCCAAGTTCATCAGGAACTTTCAGAGTCAGCTGCCTCCGGGCCAGCATCCCTAGGGGGGATTGTATAATAGCAGTCTGAGGTCATCGTGTAGAAGATAAGGAGTCTTCGGGTTTTGCTGCCAAATGCATCACTGGTCTTAAGTCATTGTGTCTTGCTTATCCATCATAGCCCCCCCCCCCCACTCCACCAGTGGGGACTGGGAGGGAAAGCAGCTCCTACTTTTAACATCAAATCTTTCCTGTGAATCAGCCTCTCTCCCTGGCAGGTGTGGATCAAAGAGCTGGGAGAAACTTGGCAAGGTCCACCTGATGCCCAGCTCCCACTGAGACCCAGGTCTGGTGGCAATTTCTGGCAGATTGAAGGAGGCTATTTCCAAAGCAGGTGCCGCCTGGCTCACTGTGAGCTCTGGCTCTTGCTCCCACCTTATGCCCCAAACAATTGGAAATTGGTGGTTATCTCCAGATGGTGAGTTTCCTGCCAGTAGCTCAGGGAACCTGAATGAACCCTAGGCCCAGGTCTACTGAAGACTTCAGGATATAATTTTCCATCCAACGTACAGCTCTGCACTGTTTGGTCAGTTTCAAAAAGCTTAGAAAAGTAGACAAAGATGTGGCCCCTGTCCCGGCCTACCACAAGTCTGCTGGCTTTGTAATAACATGCGACTCTTGGTTCTTGGTGTCAGGACTGTTTGATTCGGAGCTGTCTCTCCCACCTGCTCTCCCAGGGCAAAGATGCGGGGGTAGTTTCCAGAAGGGCGCTCCTTACAAGATGCCCAGAAAGACTGTGTGTAACCCCTGCTATTTGGGGCCTGGGGTTAGCCTCCCCTTCCCCAGGGCACACGAGAGCAAAGGGTCACATGGTCAGTGGACAACTCAGCAGGAGTGACTCCCTTTGCCAGAAGCTGTGGTCCTCTCCTCCAGAGGGAGCTCTTGTCGGTTGGAGGGCCTGCTTCCTGTGGGCATTGCAAGTGCCACTGTGCGGGGCCTGGCTCTGCACACCCAGGAAACAGTCTGCAGACCCCCAGCCCTCCGCAATAATTCACCAGACCAGAAGCCACTGATGTACAGAGAACACTTAAGAAAAATGTATTTTATGTGAAAAAAAAAGTTAAAACTCTGTATACTGTATCAGCAGCTTTGTGTAAAAATGGCAATCAAGAGAGTCTAATATATTTAAAACTTTTTTTAAAAAAAAATATCCTCATGGATCTTTGATATTGTATTGAATAACTTCCTGGTAACTCCTTGCCATGTGGCAGCGGTGGGTCTCATGTCCAAGACTGGGCCCAGCCACATCCCCAAGGGGCGCATGCCCCTGGAGTTGCTTCCAGCTGCCAAGGCCTGTGACAGAATTCGCTGTTAAGAGTTTTTAATTAAGATTATTAAATTCCTTTTAATAACATCTGCTAGTGTGACTGTGGTTATTGCTGGGGACTGACTTGGAGCAGATTGACTTGAATTTGCAAAGTCGTGCAAGAATGGAGGGTAGGTCATGGTCCCCGGAGGCCCCTGAGTTCTGGGGACTCCGACACATGGCTGATGTCTTTCTAGATTTGGAGATGGTGAAAACTGATGAATTCAAGAAAACACAGGCATTTGGAAATGAACTTGATTCTGTCATATATTGCCTTTGAAATTATGTGAGGCCCTCTAGTAGCATATGATATTGCCAATATTTTCAAAACCTTGCCTGAGGACATACTTATATATAACACTGGGTCCCCCTCCTCTGTTCCATGCATGGAGATCACTGACTTGTCCTGTCCCTTCCCCCACCCACTCCAGTCCTCCTCACTCAGCTTACAGTGGGGAAGCACAGTCCTGTATAGTCCTTCACCTTATTACAGCAACACAGAAAGCCCTGGTTTTATTCTCTCTCCCCCCGCCTCCATCAGCAAGATGAGCATAAACAAGCTATGTGTCTGCACAACCCCACACCATGGCCCTTGCCCTTGTCACATATAGAAGTTCTTGATGTCTTGAAAGAGGATGGAAAGGGTGTTCTCTTGTAGCCTTCTGGGTGCTGGTTCCCAGAGCAGGGACACAGAAGGCTCCACACTTGGGCTTGAATAACTTCACAGACTGGGGATGGGGAGAGGCTGGGAAGAGAGGAAGGGGTGTTTTAGCAGCAGAACTCATTCAACTATTTTAGAAGTTGGAATCCGCTGACATGGATGAAGTGCTTTACAATTACACACATGCCTTCTGCCCGTTTACCCAAAGAAGATGAAGTCCAAAAATCAGCTGTTGGATTTAGCACTGCGGGGGCTCATGGTGACCTGACAAGAGGTTTTGGCAGAACAGTGGGGCATTAGCTTGATTAGAAAGTTCAAGAGAGAATTGTAAGGGGAACTGGACAGTCATTATAGACCACTTATTTGAGGTTGTAGACTGTGAAAGTGAGCAGAGAAATGGGGGTGGGTAGCTCTAGAGGAATGTAGGGGCAAGAGAGGGTTGTTTCAAGATGAGCTATACTTCAGCATACTGTACTGTTAGGAATGAATCAATAAAGAAGTGAAAGTAGCAGGGTGTGGTGGCTCACATCTGTAATCAGCTTGAGAGGCTGAGGCAGGAGGATCACAAGTTCGAAGACAGCCTCAGCATCTCAGCAAGCCCCTAAGCAACTCAGTGAGACCCTGTCTCTAAATAAAATACAAAAAGGGGTAGGGACATGGCTCAGTAGTGGAGTGTCCCTGGGTTTAATCCCTGGCACAAGAAAAATACATAATAAAAAATGGACAGTGACGATTCAGGAGAGAGGGGAGAATTGCTGGAGAGAGAGGGGTTAGCAGGAGAGAGACTGGAAGCCTGTGCCCTGGCAGAAAGGGTGGTGTCAGACAGGCACAGTTCACCCATGGAAACAGAAGGCCTGTGTGGGCAGAGTTGCTGGCAGGGAGGTGGCATGGTGGGAATGGTGGGTGCTTGTGGAGACCTCTTCTGACTTCTACTTTTTTCTCAGTGAAGTGGGAAATAAGCTCACTGAGAATAAGGAGAGAGAAAAAGACAGAGGGAATGAGTGCAGTGTGGGCTGGCAGGCAATCTTAGGGCACACTTAAGATCATGCATCTGGAGCACAACCAGTCCACCAGCAAAGTTGCATTTTTTCCCCCCTCCAGCCCCGTATGGCTGCCTGGGTGCAGATGAAAAGTAGGTGGAAAGTGAGGTTTAAACAGGATTGAATTGAAGTTTTGCTGGGCAAAAACTACAAAGTGAGAGAGATGAAAGAGAAGGGTGTAATTGAAGGAGTGGCTTTCATGATAGTCCGGTATTTTTTGAACAAATGAATGGATGATTAGACGCAGGGGATAAATTTGTCATAGGTGACCACACCCACGCTCTGAGAGCCCAGCAATAGTGCGGTCACAGTGCCCAGAAGCAAGCACCAACTCGCCCTCCTGGGATAGATTTGGCTGTCCCAGGCCTTATAGGGCCACTTTGTGGGGCGGCCAGCAGGGGGCGCGCGGGGAATGGTCCGGGCCTCTCGGGTCTCCCAGCTTCGCTGATTCGGCCGCCCCCCGGGGCTGCACAGCACTTCAGGCCCGCCGGTTCCCTCTAGCAGATCGCGCAGAGCTCGGTGTCTAGAAGGGCCGGAGCTGGAACGGCTAAGTCGCGGCGGGCACAGAGTAGCTAAATTTAAGTTCCGCTCAGCAATCCCGCCGAGAGAGCCGGAGCCTGCTATCGCAGCCAGCCACCTGGGCAGCACAGTCTGTGGGTCGGGCTGAGCGGGCCGCTGGGCAGCCAATAGCGACAGGCAGGCGTGGCCGTGCGGAGTTAGCTCCTCCCCTCCCCGCCGTTAGGAGGGTGGCAGCCAATGGGACACCCGGGGCGGGGCGGGGCGGCCAATGGCGCGGGCCTGTTTGATTCAAAGATGCTTATAAAGTGCGTCCGCATCGCCTCCCAGCCCGAGCGTGGTCGGGTCTCCTCGCAGCCATGGCCTTGCGTCCCGACATCTTGGACGAGCTGCCCACCGCCTGCCTGTCGCCGTGCGGGCCGCCCAACCCGGCCGAGCTCTTCAGCGAGGCGCGGCGCTTGGCGCTCGAGGAGCTGGTGGCGGGCGGCCCCGATGCCTTCGCGGCCTTCCTGCGCCGCGAGCGCCTGGGCCGCTTCCTGAACCCCGACGAGGTGCGCGCAGTCCTGGGCGCTGCGGAGCGGCCCGGCGAGGAGGGCGCGGCAGCGGCGGCCGAGGATTCGTTCGGCTCATCTCACGACTGCTCGTCCGGTACCTACTTCCCCGAGGAGTCGGATTTGGAGCCGCCGCTGCTGGAGCTCGGCTGGCCCGCCTTCTACCAGGGCGCCTACCGCGGCGCCACGCGCGTCGAGGCGCACTTCCAGCCCCGCGGCACGGACGCCCGCGGCCCCTACGGCTGTAAGGACGCGCTGCGCCAGCAACTCCGCTCTGCACGGGAGGTGAGCCGGTCCTCGGGGTCACCTCTGCGCAAGGTCGGACCGAGACCCTCCTCAGGAGTGGGAAATTGAGAGCTGCTGGGAGCGCGGGCCGGGGTCCTTGATTGAACCCACTCTGCAAGTCTGCGTAGGATTCCCTGGTTCCCCCCAGCAGCTCTTTGTGGAAGGGGAAAGTGAGAGGAGCTTTGGTCTCCAAGAACGTGGATTGTGCCACAGTTCCAACTTCCAAAATTCATATCCTTGGTGGAGGGACCAGAAGTACTCTCCGTTCCTAATGTTAGTTAAAAACCAAACCGTATTGCAAATTTTCCTGGCCGTCAGCCAACACTGGATCCCATTTTCTAGAGCTTGTTAGGGCACGTCTTACTGAGGAATTGCTTTACCTAGGAAAAAGTTCCTGAAAGATGGGCCCCAGAGACAACTGTGGAGCTTTGGGAATCAATTTTGCTAATTACTTCCATGTGTCTTATGTTGTAGAAAGTGGATAAACGCGAAGTGGCAAAGTGATACCCCTGCTCCTTTGTCTCCTGCCTGAGAGGAAGGGAAGGTTTTGTCCTTTCTGTGAATGATTGAGTCAAGGGGTGTGCATTTCCATGAGCAGGGACTATTTAAGATATCTTAAAGTGCAGATACCTCTGCATTAGATCTGCCTCTAGCCATGGTGGGCTTCTGTCCTAGTGTCTGACTCATTCATTGTGTGGCAAGGTATTGGGGTGCAGTGGGAGGTCATGCCTGCCAGCTAGAATGAAATGGCAGCAAGGTTCTGGGAATAAGGGAGGGTGTGGCAACAGGCACTTTAGTCCAAGCCATGGTCTGTTTGCTTGCTCACTGGCAGTGCTCAGCTTCCTGACCTTCTGGCTGCATCAGGGAAGTGGCTGGTAAAGCCCCAGACCATAGAAACACTTGGTAGGACTCATGTTTGAGCATGACTTTGGGTGACAATATTTGTGCATCAGTCCAAGTCTACGAAAAAACCTGTGTTTCTGATGTTGGTTCTTCTTTACTTGACTGGCAGGGTGCTTTGCCTTTGGGGGAAAGGATGTGGGCTGCAGCTAGGCTGGTGTCGCACCCCCCACACACACCCCATGGTGGTTGGGGGGGACCGAGAGCACTAGGTGCTGAAGACATTGTAGGTTCAGTAAGAGTAAACAGTTGGAAAAGGCAGAATTTGGGGGTAGCAGTGCATTCCCAGGGCTCCCCTCCAAGAGAATTGAGCACTTGGAATGTGTAACAAGTAAAGAATGGGTTTCTTGGGGCTGAGGTTGAAGCTCAGTGGTAGAGCACTTGCCTGGCATCTGTGAGGCATTGGGTTCTATTCTCAGCACCGCATATAAATAAGTAAAACAAAGGTTCATTGTCAACCAATAAAATAAAATCGGTCTCCATGAAAGACAGAGAGATGGATTGACTTTGCCTTTGGCTCAGGCCCAAATTTTAGTGGTAGTGGGGGGCACTGGAGCTAAAGGCTAGAGGGAAAACTATAAATGCAGTTTTGCAGTCCCTTAAAAGAATCAAAGTTAGAGCTCAGGCCCTGGCCTACAGGCATTTCATAATACATTCCTGGATAGCTCCTGCCTATTCTGCACCCTAGTATCTGCCATCTGCCAAATTACTTACTCATTGCCTATTGTAAATCACCCTGCCGGGACTAGGGTCACAGGGGAAGGCATGATCCTTGCATGCACTTGAGGATGGACAGTTTGCTGGTGGGAAGGGGTGAGGACATTGCTGCAAGTAGTGGAGGAGCTGAGAGAAAGTCTCAAGAGCCCAGGAGGAGGGGTGGGGTTTGCCAAAGGTGCAAAAGGACCTGGCATATTTTGAGGCAGCCATATCCCCAGCAGCTGGAGCAGGAAGTGCATGAGGATTAGTGGTAGGAGAAGAGACTGAAGGGGAAGATTGGAGCTAGACTGTGGAGGGCTGTGCATTCTAGTGAAGGAGCAATGGGAAGCCATTAGAGGTTTAGAGGGAGGTGGGGCATGCAAAATTTGAGGTCCCAAAGATCATCTCTTTTGTTAAAAAGTAAAAACTGCTTCATCTGCCAAATGCTAATCTAAGTAATCCCCAAAGTATGTTCGAATATTTTCTTCATTTTACAGATGGAACTGAGACATAGAGAAGCATAAATTGCTGCAAAGTCTTGTGACTAGGAAATGATGGAGACAGGACAGCTTGAGGCAGGAAGTTGACCACTGTCGGCTACTGTGCCCTGCTCGTGTCCTGTATGCAGAGGAGAAAACTGTCCACAAGGAGTTCATCCTCAGGTGGACAGAAGCTTTTGGGTGGAGAGGTCATAGAGGTCCACTGTGGTGACCCTCAGGTGCTGCCACCCTGTAAAGCTGTGCACTGTATACATCAGAGGGGCTGTGTCACTCTGACTACATCCACACCAGGTGCATGGACCACAAAGGTGCATGTCGCAGGCTGTTTTCAGATGTCGGCATCTGTATTTCAAGGGCAAATGTGCTTGATGGTTGTGTGAATGTTTTCAGTGCGTCTATTTCCATGCTAGGTCCTTCATCTGGATTCTCTCTTTTTTTTTTTTTTTAAATCTGACACACAATATGAAGTCATTTATTATTAGATATTATTTTTATACATAAATCAAGACAGTTATTTGTATACAGATTTCAATACTGTATCAAGTTATTTGAAAATAAATATAAAAATATTAATAGAAACAGTTGTGACAAGTAAAATAATTTTTTTTTTTGGATAAACAACATGAAGGGATTTTGTCCATGATCCATTGGTACACATTTCCTTTTTATTATGTCAGTGACCAAGATTTAGGACTTACAAAAGTGTCGTTTAAAGACTCTGCTTTCCTTTTCCCTACTGAGCTGACTTCTTTCCTACCCTTTCTTCTGGACTCTGTGAACTTAACCTTCCTGACCAGCTCCCAGAAGCTGGGGAGTATAAAATTAATGCTGGTGGGGGGAAGAGTGTAGTACTTTTATTTTTTTATTTTTTATTATTTTTTTATTGGTTGTTTAAAACATTACAAAGATTGCAGAATTACACCGGTTACACATCCACATTTTTACATAATGCCCTATTAGTAACTGTTGTATTCTGCTACCTTTCCTATCCTCTACTAACCCCCCTCCCCTCCCCTCCCATCTTCTCTCTACCCCATCTCTGGATTATCTCACTTGACCCTTCCATCTTTGGGAAAAGACCACAGTTCAAAGACCAAGCACAAAGAAGTTAAGTAACTCACCCCAATCAAACAGTGTGAGATAGTGGAACTGGAGCCCAAGTCTGCCTGGCTCCAGGGCCCACACCTTTCATCCCTGCTCTATACAGCTTCCTTGCTGAGAGGAAGGATTAATACTTTGGTAGTTTCAACAAGCTGAAAGTTTTGAACAGCTTCTTAAAGACTTGGACTTTTAATTTCCATGTTGCAAGTTCTGTAAACAAGAAAATGTGTGAGCAGATATTTTGTCTCTCCTGGGGAAGGTACAGCTAGACAGCTATTTATAGTACAAGAAGCAGAGGAGTATGTGGGAATCTTTTGGGGGCAAATGAAGGAACTTTGAATTCCACACGAAGGGTCCTGTGAAATGACCCCAGAGGTTGGGACTGGGTTGCATCAGAGCAGGTTCAGACCTTAGTGTTTGCCCTGTGCAGCTTTATTTATCCTCACTGCAGAGGTCTTCGTACCAACTTCCATCCTTAGGTGTGGCTCTGGAAGGAACCTGGATGTGAAGCTCCATGACAGAGGTAGGGGCAGAGGAAGCCAGGGACCTTTGGTAAAGGGTGGGACCTAATCCTGACATCACAGCCTGAATGGATGGGATAGGTTGTATGGAGCAGCTCACTGACCACACAGAATCACCCAGGGTATCTGACACATATACCCTGGGTGCTCAGTAAATACTGTGGAGGTCTGTCGTAAGAGCCCTTACTTTTTGAGCCTCATACTTTTGGAGGGGGGAGAAGGAAAAAGTAGGAAAACTAAGTAGTCATGTGATTCTGTCTGCCTTTCCACTTAACTAGTATTCATCCCTGGATAGGTAGGATGGGACTCTGAATTTGCATTGGCTCAGTTTCTGTGCACCTTTCCAAATACAGGCATTCTGCCAATAGTACGTCTTGAATTCAAGCTGCCATTTCTGTGTTGCTCACTTGAACTTCATCAAAGTTGGAGGGAATATTGCACCTGCCCTGTTGGGAGCTCATATGTTTGTTTCCTAAGGGATTTTTTTAGGATGGTTTTGAACTAACACGGGATTTTTTTCTTCATATTTGCTATAGAATCTACCCCTATCTTACTGTATCTGTTGATGAATGGCTCAGTCCCTGGTCGCCATGTGAATCAGTGGTTGGCTGCCTGGAAGTCCTGGTCTCCTTTGGAGATGTTCTTCTCATGTGGTTGCCTGGCTATTGCTGGCTTCTGAGTGGGAGTCCATTGGCCATGCTCACAGTACCGGGAGATTCTGCACTCCTCACAGCCGTGCTTCTTACCATTCCCTAGACACTTTTGTTCCAAAGAGGCTGCTTTTGTTGTGACCTCACCCTTGGGCATCCTTTCGATGCATTAGTGGTGAGGATCTTTGTGTAGCCAGAGCCCTGCCAGGAGGAATGACAGCTGAGGAATCTGTCAGAGGCCCCTGGTGTGTGTGAGGTTGTACCGGACGAAGGCTCTCCTCTTGCTCAACCCTGCATTGCAGCAGCTCCTGTGCAATGTGGTCAGTTCCTGTCCCAGATGCCTGGATCCATCCAGAGGTTTCTCAACCTTGCCAACTGTTGGCTTTGGGCAAGATGATTGCTTGTCCGGGGGCCTGTCCTGAGGTTTGTACGATGCTGAGCAACATTCCTGGCCCTGCTCACTAGATACCAGTAGCAGGCCTCCCCCCTAGGAAGTCCCGACAATGAGAGTTAGTGCTTAATTGGGCTGGTTTCTGTTTGGGGTGATGGAAAGTTTTGGAAACCGTGGAGATGGCTGTACAACATGAATGTACTTAATGTTGCCACCAAATCATATGCATTGAGATGGCAAA